TTTTGACTGATAATATTTTCAAATTTTAAATATTCATTATACATCATGTCATAGATAAACAGATATATTGGTTTGACTATCCTATTCAAAATGGCCGAATGGTGGTAATTTTTGTGCTAAAAAATCATCAAATATCAAGCATTTATGGGTGGATTTCGTTCAAACTTGGTACATACATTGGACATTACGGGTTCCTGATGCTCGTCATTTTATTTTTCAGATTGGATTCAAAATGGCTGACTGGCTGCCATTTTGTTGTAATGATTGGGCTTCTGGAGCCATATCTCTTAAATGCTTTGACTGATTATATTTAAATTGTATATATTCGTTATACATCACGTTATATATATACATGTATTCAAAATGGCTGATTTTAAATGCTGTTCCAGAGCAATTTCTCTCAATATGGGCAAGTACTTGTTTGACGATCAGATACAAATGTCAATCATTTTAATGTTAAAAAAATCATATTCCTGACATGGTTATATTCAAGCTATATTACTATAAACAAAACTATATATCTTAAATTTGATTACTAACGGGGACTGTGCCATGCATGGCTTGTTTAAGTTGTTTTAATATATCGTTCTTGTGGATGAAAAAGAATTTTAAAATTATATAGTGATATCTGGAGATTTGAATAGTTTATATCAAATATCTGTTTGAATCCCAGAAGGTTTACCATTTTGTTTATATATATATCACTTCATAGGCCAATAACCCTTACCATATTTGCTATGTTAGTAAGGTATACACTTACATAAATGAGATAGGTGTGTCTTTGTTCAAAATAAGACTTATTTTAATGATCCAGTACACATTGAATGCATTGTTTGTGTGCATTTCTAGGTGGTGATATATTATGTTACTTGTAGTTCTACTTAAAAAAGTTGATTTTAAAATTATTTAGCTATAACAGAATTGTTGAATTTCTGTTGAGATTTTGATTAATGCTTTCCATATATTATTTATTTTATTCCAATATCATACAATTATACCAATCACACAATAGTGTGACTCTTGTGCGTGAAACACACAGTGGGAGACTTTGGGGTTAACTGCTAGTCAGATTTCAATGATAAAAATAAAGGATAAACATCTGTGCATAATAATTACCTAATTTGCATAATGACTATTCAATTTACGGTTTTTCCACTTTTATCTCAAATACTAATCATCACATTTCAATGAAACTTGGTAAATAAACATTTTAGAGACAATGCACAGACCTGATTAGATTTGGTTTAAAATCTGTGCATAGTAATTACCTTATATGCATAATTAGTCAATTTTCCGCTTTTACATTTATATCTCAACTACTAATTACTGGTATCCCATTTCAATGCACGAAACTTCTCAGTTTTGAGGTTAAAATTTGTT